TTTAACCTTAATGATTTATTATTAATGATATTTTAAATTATATATTTAAATTATAGAATCTAAACAAATTGAATTAAGTATGCCAGATTCTAAACAAATTGAATTAACTATACCAGAATAAATCATTGGAATTTTCACTTAGTCTCTTGGGGGTGTTGCATGGTGAACAAACACCTTTTATTAATGTTAAAAAATTTTTCAATGATCAATCAAAACTTTATATTTTGTCTATGTATTACTTTTATATATTGTTTAATATTTTATTTCAATTTGTATTTTTATCACCTGTGGTTGGTTTGGTCTAAAGACCTCCTATTGATGTGTCATATGTTCAGATTTCAAAAAATGTGATTTTGTGATTCACTCAAAAATGCAATAAAATTTTTCAAAAAGGGTTTCAGGTGATTTCGGTTAAAAATTTATTTTATTTACTGCCAAATTTAGATATGATTATCAAGTATTAGACTAAATTTAGCAATGAACCCAGCGCTCATATTCCTCATGAGCAAACAGAAGGCCGTTCTGGTAACACGAAATTTAACCCCTGCAATTGTTGATTGACCAATCAAAAATCGTGAATTTGATAATGTAAAAATAAATGTTGGTTTAATTCATTTTGTCAACAATCATTTCAACAACAATTGTTAGATTGACAAATGGTTCGAATTTAAGAAGTTGGAAGCAACCATGAAACAAACCTTTGAAATAGTCTAATAAATTAAATTGTACTACTCAAAAATGTATTTAAAGGGTTAGTTTTTGACTTGGTTGAAGAATAACTCTCTTCTCAACTCTTCTCTTAACCATACCTTTCAATATAATAAAAATAGCCTTAATATAATGAATGTTGATGAAATGATTATAAGCACAACCAATTTAAGATATATGATTAAGACAAGGTATGGATGATGTATGAAAAAATCAAACAAATTTATTTAATAAAAAAAAAAATTTACAACCCAAAAAATGGTTTTTTTGTATGTTCTAATAAAATTTCCATTGTTGCTGCATCATCTGTTGCTGGCTCAAAATTACCCAGATCATCATCAACTGTATTTTTGTTATTTTGATAAATTCATTTTTTTTTAATCTTTTTGTTGTACTTTCTTTTATTTCAACTTGAAATTAGTCAGTCCAAGATATCAAACATTTAGATTTGCACCTTTGTAGACAATGATTGTGATAACCATATCCACACATAAGTACACTACAATTATTCAAATTAGCATAGTTAGTGAAATCACAATTAAGGTTGCCTGCTGAAACCTCTTAGTGACTGTCAAAACTCTGTTGAAACTTTAATAAACTATTAGTATATACCTTGTCAAACCTCTGACAATTGACAAAACTCTGGCAATTGACAAACCCCTAAATGTGAAACTCTGCCAAAACTCTAATAAATAATTAATGTGTAACCTGTCAAAACTCTGTCAATTGATTTCTGGGGGAGCTTCGCCCACAACCTTAATCACAATATATGTAATTGCAAAAAATGTTTGTAGGTGGTTTCCTAGAAGTAACAAAGTTTTAGTAATCAAAGGATACTGATTTCGTGCTTGATATGGTGGTAGTATCAGATTGTCTCTGGATATGAGTCTATGATAATCATCAACATTCAACATGAATGCACTTTTTGAATGTTTTGTAAGTGTATTATATACATATTTCTCATGTTCATCTGCAACTTGCTTCTTTTTATGATCTACTGCTCTTGATGTTATGGTTGCTCCAAGACTTGTACCTACTGAATCTAAATAGAATGCAAGGTCAAACTTAAAAGAGTTAATTTTTGTATTATTTAATGAAGCAAGAAGATAACATTACACTGCCCTCCAAAAAGTATTTGGATGATGTTTTTTGATAATTACACAAGATGCCACATAACGAATGTACATAAAATTTATACCATATATGGCTTAGGTTTTGGCGACTCTACATATAAATTTTCATTTTACTATCTTTCTTTTACGATTTTTAGTTAAAAAAACAAAACACCAAATAAATCGCGAGGATTATCTTTGTGAATTTTTAATAATTTTATGTTTCTCAAAATTTTATATTATAAAATTCAATAAAAATTTAATAGTTTGTAGTTTAGGTCCTCATAAATAAACGACTAAAACTTTATGTTCCTGTCACATGTGAGTTTTGTTATTAAAAATAAACTGATACCAATAAAATTGATTAGATCAAAAAAATTTCACAATTTTTTTTTGATTTTTAAAAATGGCAAAAAATTCAGGATTAACTGAAGCTGAGCAAGGAAAATTTTAGGTCTAAGAATAGCTGGTAGTTCTCTTGCAAAAATCGCAAACACACTTAATATTCCAAAGTCTACAGTTCATGACACTATCAAACATTATGAGAATGCCAAAAATTTAAAAAAAAATAAAATGATCATCATAAAATAAAATAAATATTGACCAGTGTTTGTTTTTTTTAACTAAAAATCATAAAAGAATGATAAAAATAACGAGATTTTTCACATAGGTTCTCCAAAACCTAAGCCACACTATGACATAAATTTTATGCACTTTTGTTATGTGGCATTTTGCATAATTATCAAAAAACATCATCTGAATACTTTTTGGAGGGCAGTGTATGAACACCAATAATCTCTTCATATGGTTCATTGTTTGTTCATTAGATTCAAATGGATGGGCTGCTAAATAGAGTTGGTCAAAAACCCCTTCAAGCTTGGTTCTATTCTTGGAGCAATTGTTGTATTTCATCAAAATCATATATATACAGTGTGTTTCAAAAAAAATGGCATGCATAATGTAAATTCATTTTGAAAAGTTTTGAAATAAAAAAATTTTTTCACATGATCAAAATGGTTGGATAACTTGTTTATGTGATAACCACATCATGAAAACGTGTTTTTTGATACACATATTGTTGCAAAAACTTTTATTGACAAAAAAAGAATTCATGCAATGGACTGGCCATCCAACAGTCCTGACCTTAACCCATTGAGAACATGTGGTATATCATGAAAAATAATGTTGAAAAAAGAATGCCAAGGAATGTTGACAAATTGAAGAATTTATGGTTGAAGAATGGGAAAAATTCCTCAGGAAACAGTCAAAAATATTATTATCTCTATGAAACAGAGATGCGAATTGGTCTTAAAAAAAAATAGGGATAGAATTTCTTATTAAATTTTTTTTTTTATTTAATAAAGTATTCAGTAGGCTTTTAAATGAACATAATTTTATTTATTTATCTTGGATAATTGTTGCAGTATACAATTTTTTGTGTGTGCCATTTTTTTTTGAAACATGCTGTAGGACCTTCTTTATTTGAACATTCTTTTTCATAAAAGATTTTGGCCATCATCTTGATGATTCTAGTGAAAACAATCTTTTCACTTACCTCTTTCCCTTCTTCATCTGTGGTTTTTACTCTCCTAGGTCCTCTTGTTTGATAAAAAACTGGTTTGCTTGGGAAATATTATAAAAGTCAATGATAATGGGAAAATCACAAGACTTTGTAGAGAATGTGCATGTGAAATATCTGTATATAAATAAATTTGATTAATGAAAAAAAATAAATTGATTTTATTTATTTATATTTATAATTGTAATAATATAAAGTTATTGATGATTAATCATATTTTACATCAAAGTAATCATAATAGTAATAATGATAAGAATAATATTATCTATTCCTTAAAGTTAATTTTACCATTATATCATTTTTAGCCATAACAACTAATCTTTCTTCTTTCTGAACATCATTTAAATTCATTGCTAATTCAACATTGAATTTTTGGAAGATAAGACAAATCATCATTTTGACATCTAACAATGCAAGTCTTTCAGCTGGGCAAATTCTAGCACCAAAGCCAAATGGACAATAAGTTGATGGTTTAATAGTTTTGGTGGTGGTGGCAAATCTTGATGGTTTGAATTCCAATGGATTTTCAAAAAAGTTTGGGTTTTCATGTAACAATGGAATTGGATATAAGATGGTCGTATTTGATTTTAATAAAAGACTATTATCAATATTGTGAGGTTCAATTGATGAAGATGACAATGAAGATTTTGTTGTTGTTGTAATTTTTTCAACATTCATATCTGATTTTAAGAAGCGTGCACAAAATGCTCCAGGTGGATGAACTCTCAAAGATTCTTTAACAACTTGAGTCAAGTAATCCATTTTTGATAAATCTTAAAAATAATTATATGTTAACCTTTGCAATAAATGTTAAATAATATATGAATATTATTATGTACCTTCACATATGTCAATTTTCAGATGAGATTAAAACTTGGTTACAGAGTTAGAATATGATTTACTTTTAAAATTGATTACAGATTGATTTTTAATCTAACCAAAATTTTAATCCTATCAAAAATTGGTGCATGTGAAGGCACTACTATTATGATGATTGGTTACCTTCAAATGTGGGTAAATGACATTTTAACACTTGATCAATTTCTTCCTGAAGTTTTTTTTGAATTTCAAGATTTTGTGTTAATTCAAATATAGTCCAAGAAATTGCTATACCAGTTGTATGATATCCAGCAACAACAAATATACTAATAAACATATTTATCTAATGCAACAATAAAAAATATTAGATGTTAAATACTAATCAAATAATAAGTAATAATTATAATATAAATAAATAATTACCATTTCATCAGTATAAGGATTATTTGTCTCAGGATCAATTGCTAATACCAAAATGTCAAGCATATCTTTTACCAATACATCTTCACCACCATTAACATTAGTCCTTCCTCTTCTTTTAGAAATTAGATTCTTTAAAGTTTCTTGTAAATAATTAATAGAATTTTGAAATTCTTCTTCACGTGATGCTTCCAGCATACCAAATTGTTTATCAAATAAACCACTTAATGCAATATCATATGCATGTTTGAATGCTTTTAAATCAAGATCTTGTGGTTTATCTATACTATTATTGAGATTA